ATAAATTTATGGTAGAGTTTCAATAGCACTGATAATATCAGCAAGCAGCCACTCCAAATTACATCTTTCATTAAGAAACATCACTCCAGAGCCAAAAGCCCCCAAAACGAATGAGCTCTGTGGTTTCCACAGGTTTAGTGTAACAGCGGCCTCCTGCCAAAGCACAGGAAAAAACTAGATTCCTGAACCCGGCAATGACAAATTCCCCTCATCCAAATTAAAAAGGATCAAGCTTTGAATGCTGTAAACTCTGTTTAAGAAAAAAGGAGGACGTTGTGTCATTTCCTTCCTTGCACGGCTTCCTTTCACCATGAAACGTCCGAGGCAAACACAAGCCTCCCACGCGCGGCAGAGGAAGGTGATTCAGGCCGAACACCTGAACTTCGGCATGCGCGGTTCTGTTTTGATACCAGCGTCTCCCCTCTGTGTTCATCAGTCATTTTCAGCACACTTCCAGGACGTCCTCGCATCGGTGCCTCTGTCTAAACATCTTCCTCTCCTTTTCAGAGCAGGGTGGGCTATATGACAATACACTGTCTTTATGGAGATAAATTACATCACAACATGCTTTTCCGAGCACATTGTAGGCATACTGATATTAAATCACTGGGCAAATGAATGCTTTACAAAAATAGTGAAAATGTACCAATATGAGAATTATGGGCGGATGCTGATATTCAATACTTTTCATATACATATCTGCTGATGTCGATTCATAAACACTGGTAGTAGATTTACTTGGATTGGCATTATGGCAAAATGTTACATTTATTTCTGTAGAGGTTAAAATGCAGTAAAATAAATAAAGTGCAGATATTTTAGTGCAGTAACCCACACTCCTTAAAAAGATTGTGTCTCAAGGGTTCTTTAGTACAGAAAATGGTTCTATATAGAACCATCAACACTCAAAGAACCCTTTGCATGATTAAAAGGTTCTTTGCATCATAAAAGGGTCCTTTGCATTGGTGAAAAATGTGCATGAATATGCTACAGATGGTTCTATATGGAACCTTTTTGAAAAGATGGGTGCTACATTAATCCTTTTCATGTTTTTACTGCAAAGAAACCTTTAATCATGCATAGGATTCATTCAGTGTTCATGGTTCTATATATAGGTAATGGTTCTATAGAACCATAAACACTCAAAGAACCTTATGCATAATCAAAGGGTTCTTTGCATCATGAAAGTGTTCCTCAGACTGGTGGAGAATGTGCTGCAGTTGGCTCTATATGAAACCTTTTTGAAAATGGTTCTATATAGCACCCAAAAAGGTTCTTCTATTGTTACAGTGTCAAGCTTGTAACAATAGAAGAACCCTGCATGATCAAAGGGTTCTTTGCATCATGAAAGGGTTCTGCATGAATATGCTATAGACAGTTCTACACAGAACCTTTTTGAAAAGGGTTCTATACAGCACCCAAAAGGGTTCTTCTATTGTTATAAGCTTGACACCATAACAACAGAAGAACATTTTTGGGTGCTATATAGAGTCATTTTCAAAAAAGTTTTATATAGAACCACTTTCTCCATCAGTCTGAAGAACGCTTTCATTACGCAAAGAACCCCTTTAATCATGCTAAGGGTTCTTTGAGTGTTCATGGTTCTATATAGAACCGTTTTCTTTACTAAAGAACCTCTGAAGCACCATTTTTTAAGAATACAGCATCACCTGAACTTTCTGCTCTTCTAAAGTACAATAAAAACATCTTCAAATATCAGTTTGAAACATCAGTTGTCTGATGTTGAGCTGTCTGATGTCTGATGTTGAGCTGTCTGATGCCGATTTTTGTAGTTTTAGCAAATACCTGTTGATGCTGATGATGATACCAGCCATTCCTAAAAAATAGATTTAGACTAATTGTAGAAAGCCTTTAAACAATAACCTGTGAGACCACACAGTCAAATTAAAACTCCACAGTAACAAACAGCAGACTGGATATTAGCTCATTATGCCACCTACCAATTATTTCCTTTTTTTGTGCTCGTTTTTATTATGTTGAATAAAAACAAAATTGTGCATCTTATTTCTGGCACTATGCTCTTAAACATAAAGTGCCTAGAAGAGTTCTATGCCATTTTTGGATCCCTACTAAAAAAAAATAGACAGATCCATTTTTGTGAATGAAATTTGATTGTCAAGAACCTTCTTAAAGTTTTAAGAACTTCTGCCTAACTAAAGACGTAAAGGCTCTAAGAAAAACCCTTTACAATTATGTGATGGTTCTTTAACTCTTTAAAATGTTTGTCACAGTCATTAACCTCGTTTTCAAATACGACTCTTTAGTGTTGTTCTACTGTGTCGTTAAAAGAACCTGTTGTGGGAATTTTTACTGTTTTCTGGGTGCATTGTGCACCGTTTTCCTTTGAAATCTAAATATTGTGGTGCAAATTGTGGGTCATAAAGTATTGTTATATTACATTTTCGCCATATGATCGTCCCTATTTTTGTTCTGTATCTGCACTCTGTAGTCCTGTGTAATATACTGCTGTTGTGTGTTGCACCATGGGGCCTGAAGAACGACATTTCATTACAGTGTATATGTTAAGTGTATGCATAAATTATATTGAGGAATGACAAAAAAGACATCTTGACATCTTGAATTTCTACAACAGCTCTTACAGCAACCTTTCAGATCCCTAAAATGGCAAAGAGGTAAAGATAAAGCGACTGTCTTTACACATAACAGAGAGGAGCATCTCATATTTACTGTAAGACTCAGCGTGTTTATACCCAAGTTCTTCATAAAAGCTATGACGTACATCAAATGGAAAGTGTCGATGCTGATCACAGAGAAACGTCCTCTCAGGTGTTAATGGAAGTGACGGCTAAAGCCACAGGAGCACTGTGGTGATGTCTGTTCTGAAGGACCCCCAAGGGGTTAAGGACAAAACATCCTCTGAGCGGAATTATTTCCTCCCCACAGCACCTGCTTTCCTCATCCGTCATGTCAGCGTTATAGGCCATGCTCTATCACTGTCAATATTAGGGAAATTTGCTGGGCTCTTTAAAATGTAATGGAGCCTGTAGTGTCTCCCACACAACTTGAACATAAAAATATAAGCTTGTCAAAAAATCTGATACTGAAACCTTTAAACGGAGCCGATGAAAATACATTTTAATCCATAATCAGCAAGTGTAATGTTTTAGATGGACTCCCAGAGAGTTTGACGTAGTTGTTTCTTTCATCTGTTCTTTATGCACGTTTTCAATCTTCAAGATAAAAGTTAATTCTTTGCAGACTGAACAAGCTAAATTCAGCCTTGATAAATATGAGCTTTAATGTAATTTGTGCTTTAAAGTTCAGATTCAAAAAGGCAAGCTTAATCAGAGCCGTGAAGTTTTGGATAATATCTGGCCATTTTTTACCACTCTTCAATGGCAAAAGTGCCAAAACACATAAATTCATCTGTCAACATCATCAGGTATCTGTTAACATGAAAAAGTAAGTCCAAAAAGGTGAGCATCTGAGGAAAAGTCAGAGACCAAACCTGTCAAAACGGCTAGCAAGTACGTTATCCATTTTAAAGAGATGTTTCTGAGAAGATTAGATATAAAACTGCAAAAGAAAGGAGACAGTCAAATGAAAATACATGAAAAAACAAAAGTTTCCAAAACTGGATGTCAAAAAATGATAGAGCTACAGAGAAAATGGGGCTCCTAACAACCACCTGGAAGACCTGGTAGATACCAAAACTGCCCCCATCAGATAAACAGCACTTAAAGCTTTCATCTTTGAGAGAGAGGAGAAAATCAAGCTGCTTCAGATCTGAAAACATCCACAGGTGTTTCTGTCCATCCTGTGAGAAGACGACTCAGCGCTATGGGTCTGAAAGGATGTGTAGCTGTCAAGAAGAACCTCACTGAGAAAAGGAGACGGACACACCAAACAAAGAAGCTGGACAACGGACTGACCACCCCAGAGTCCAGACCTCAACACCACTGAATGTGTTTGATTACTTCAGAAAATGATCAACCAGCTTCTAAGACTGAACTTTGGAGGTGTGGCTGTAGATTTCTTTGAAAAACTGAAAGTGAGTCTCCTGAAAAGAGTGGACCCTGGAATAAAGTGTGGACACACTCAATACTGAAAAAATGTAATTATATTTGGTTGTTGAGGCTTCTGTATGTTTTTTGCTTTTTCAATCACACTGAAAAACGAATAACTTGTACTTAATGGCTGTTTTGACTGAAACTAAATAAATAAAGGGTGGTCTCTGACTTCCGCACAGTACTGCACTTTCGCTTGAGTACAAACGTGTTGAGTTGTTGGTAATTACGAGCTGCTCATATGGGCTATTTTTACTTAATTTGCCATAACACAGAAAAGGAATGAGCATGTATGACCGTGATACCAGCTATGTGAACTTCAGATGAATATTTTTAGCTGATGCATTAATAGAGATGAGGAATCTTATTAAGATGACATGAGAAGGACTTTATAAATGATTCCTGAATGAAAGCCAGAAAGTTGTCCCCTTTTATAAACACACTGCTTTTCAGCTCTTCTCTTGAAACAAATTCCAGACAACCCTCTCAGGATGGGAAATGGAAGCTAATGCTTTTTGAGAGTGCTTAAAAAACATCAATATGACGTGAGCGACAACTCAAACTTCTCAAACATCTCAAATATCCCTTCACTTAGGATCTGAGGGGCTTACAATCCTGTTATGGGTTAACATGGTCAGTGCTGAAGCTGAATTTGCTTGAGCAACACAGCTGCATCCTGAAGGGCTTTTTTGGAGTCGCAGTCTCGAAGAAAAACACAAATACTGCCATTGTTGTCCTGTCCTCTTCCACCAGCCTGACCCCAACTGTTTGGGCTTTCTCTGGAAGCAGAAGGAGCATCCAGCGGGAAGTGTTTAATTAGTGCCCTCCTGCTTCTGTCCTGGCTAAGAATCTCCTCAAGCTGCTCGGCTCAGCCAAGGGTGTCGGGTGGTGGGAGGGGCTTTGCCCTCGCTCCCCGGCCGCAGGAGCACAGTGCCGCAGACAAGAGCAGAGTGTGGGAGACCGGTGACGGGGAGAACACATGCTGGGAGTGGGGACCTGCCAAGTGACGCTCTGTTACTACACGCTGACATTTGTCTCCACCTCCTGCTTTTGCCAGAGTTATAAATGAAGCTCACGCACAGCGAGAAGACAATCCTGCACAGGGACACCCACGCAGATGCAGTTCAAGAGTTAGCAGAAGCTCTGAAGTTCTGACACGAGACCACTGGAAGACAATTCTCAAGCAATTCTTGGACGTCTCAAGCAAGAAAAAGCTGAACCTTTAGGCACAAAATGCTGAGAGCTGGAGTTCTCGTCTTGAGCTTCTGCTTCATCCTGGGAGAAGGGTTCTCAATAGGCAAGAAGCAGTATCAGATTCAGAACGGACCATGCAGCTACACCTTTCTTCTGCCGGAGCCAGAGAACTGTCCACCCAGCAGCTACAGCAACCTGGCGCAGAGGGACGACCCAGCTGATTACGAGCAGTCGGTCCAGAGGCTGGAGCAGCTCGAGAGCATCATGGAGAACAACACACAATGGCTGCTCAAGGTAAAATCTCACTTATTCTCATTCATTGTTGAAGAAGAAGACGTGCTTTTGCGCATTGCGACACCTTCCTGGATACTTATTTTCTGCATTCATGGAGGTTTTCATAGCTCTGATTTGTTTCTTTCTATAGGTTCAACCAAATTTATCTACAAGTACTGCAGATATAATTAAAAGCTGTTGTTTTACTGCTTGTTATCATCAGGTTAGTTCACTACAGAGGGCCTTAAAGCTTAAAAACTCCAAGGCAGGGCAGCGGGCTGCACCTGCGGAGTGACGGCAAAACTTTCAGAAGCCAAAAAAACAAACGTTTAGTGTGTTTCCTGGACCAATGTTGGAGCAATGCCATCGCAGTTCATTGTGGCTTCTTAATACCAGGAAGGAAGCGAACGCATATATTTTCACGACTAAACGTCAACTCTTTCAACGGCTTGTAAGACAGCACTGGAAGATGAAGATGCCTAACGTTAATTTATGACAAGTGCAAAATTCCAGGAAAACGAATAACATGTTTAGAAGTTTTCCTAGCATGTTAATTTATACTACATTTATAATAGGGAGGTTACCTATGTGAAGTAGAGGAGGAGAGTTCAGGGCAAGCATCCATACATCCACAGACGGTTAAATGGGCCTTATATGTGAGCAGAACAGGTGCATGTAAACCTCCTGGCTGGACACTTCTTTTTACCCCTTTTCATAGCTTTCATTTGAGTCACACTTATGACTCAAAACAATAAGTTGCTTATACATTACACTCTCTACACTCACTTTAATTGTTAACAAACTGTCTGGTGAGATTCAGCATTACCTTGATTTCTTTCTGTGGGTTCAAGCCAATTTCTACTTGGAGTAAATTAAGCTTAATGTAATGCACATGTAAATAAGAGATGCTCTAAACTGTTGCATCCATAAAAACCAAAATACAGCATCTGAAAAGTAGCCACTTATATTGCATGTGGTATTATCCATAGCACTTAAGTGTGGTTTAATTTGTGCTAAACAAGTTTTAAAACTGAATTAATTTCTCAATTTTCTGTAACCCAATCTAATCTGCTTATTAGGAACTTCACAGAAAGATTTTCCTACTAATTGACAGCAATAGAACATGGATATGATGAGAAATCTCATATCGTCTACAGAGAACACATGTTAATGCACAGTTACTGTTGCCAAATTTAACATACTGGAAAAGTTCTGGCACATTTTATACTGCTTATTTAATTTTAGTTTCTGTTAAACCCAGCAAATACATAGAAATTGTGCACTAAAATTTGCAGACGAATGGCATATTTAAGTTTATTCTTTGTACAGGATGTGTTAAAAACATGCAATTTCACCAGGGCTGTTTAAACTTTTCGCAGACGACTGCCTAATAAAGACTACGGGGCTACAAATAAACCCTCAAACAGTGCAGACAGATGTCTTGGAACTACACCCATATCAGATGTTTGTGCACTTAAACCTGTACTTTTCTACATCTGAGTTGTACCAAAAAACTGCCTGTGACAAGTGGAACAGCCTGTATGTAACAGAGCCCACAGAACGAGCCCTTTCTTTTGAGAGCTCCTGACGCCAAAGCTACAAGAGATGCTTTCAAGTTCAACTCATTTTAGTTAAATAAGCCAGCAGTACTTTATTCATTCATTTATTTATTTATAAGGGCTGAACTTTGCACCTTGTACTTGTCAGGCATGCAGACTGCCATTTCTGGTGCGCATGCAATAGCCAAAACGGAAGACTTTGAAATATTTCATCTTCATGGAGAGCATAGCGACAGTCTGGTGAACTTAGAAAAGAAGAAAGAAGAAAATTTTTGATGTTTAGTTCTGCTGTACTGATAATACACCTTCAATCAGGTGCATTATCACAGATGTTTTCCCAAACGTAGCTACTGGAAAGCAGGTTCGGATGCCTGGAAATGTATGCTGAAAACTTATGCTTTAAAATATTTAGGTAAATTAACTAAACCGATTGATTTCACCTCGAATGCTGGTATTACATGCTTGCGTAAGACTACTATGTAAAGTTCACGATGTGTGAAAAACAGCGTAAACAGATTTTATGGCATAGTTTCCTCTTTGACTGTAATGGTCTGACAGTATACCGGCAGTATCTGTAAACTCAGAGGAAAGGCTCTTCCTCTAAGCGGCACTTTCGAGGTCGGCAAGTCAAGGTCAGAGGAAAGCATTGGACCTCATCTGGCTGTGAGGTCACGCCACAGTTGGCATATTTGATTCATTAGCAGCCAAGGCGCATTTCGTTGGCTTGACGCTAAAGCGGTGTGTCGGCTCGTGGTCTTGCTTTCGTGTGAATGGAGCGAGCAAACAGCCTTTCCTAGAGGAACCCTTAGGGGCGCAAATAGAGTAAACAACTGATAAGATCGTAAGTCATCAATGGAACGTCCTGGTCACAGTTCCGATGACACCCTCCACGTGTGTTTTGCGTTCCACAAAACAGGCGAGGATGGAAGTCCTGAGAGGAAGACAAACAAAATTAGCACTGATTACCGAAGCTGTCGCCTTTTTCATTAACGAGTTAAATATATCCCGACCGCTGCAGTAGAACGCCTGGCTTCCGGACTTCGAGGGCATTAAGATGAACGGAGCAAACAACAGTAGATGCCGAAGGCCACTCTGATGTTTTTCCCCTTGTCACGTTATAGAAATGTTTTCACTGAGGATGCAACTCGTCACTCATCGTGTCCATCCTGTTTGTTTGAGTGCTGACATGTCTGCTGTTCAGGAACTCAACAGGAAAGAGAGCACGAGGACTAGATGAGGGCTGAACACGGGGCTTACAGCTGTGATGTTTGGTGCAGCTTAGTGAATTTGTTTTGACGAGTTTAATTGTACGACTTAGGAAGCGCTAATATGAAGTGCCTTTTTTAATAGATGTGATTTATTATTCAAATGAAGAGAGGGATAAACACAATGCCCAGTTGTCAGTCTGACTGTTCAAACAGAAACAGGCCTACATCCTACATTTTTCTTGTATTTTGTTTTTTCATGACTATTTTCCAGCCTCAGCTTCAATTTTCAATTTATCATGTAGAATTAAATGCGTGCTGTCGCATTTTGTACGAGTTGTAAGGGATGTATTGTTTTCTTAGGGAGGCCAGTAAGAAGATCATTACAGTGATCAACTCTGCCCGCAACAAATGCATGAACAAGCTTCTCTGCATCGCTCTTAAATAGAAAAGGCTGAACTTTAGACATATTTCTCAAATGATTAAAAATTGGACAAAAAATTAAAACACAAAATATAAAATATGACAAACTGCACAGGCCATAGATTATGATATAGATAGTTAGACAGATAGTTTTACTTCTTCCCTCAATCTGTTAAATTCAATAAATGAACAGTAACTGTGCATTAAAATGATCAGAAGTATGTTCTCTGTAGAGGATGTGTAAAATCAACAAAACATAATCTGACCTGGGGCACCCAAATTTTTGCATATGACTGCATGTAAATTATCTCTGTTTTAATTGGCTGCCCTTTATAGTGCTTCATTCAGAATTCGGTATGAGCAGAAACACTCCATATAACTTCAACAAGAATGGGCGGGGCTAAAGTGCTGTACGCATTTTTATATAAATGTGTTGATTTTTGTGACATCACAAAACTGATTTCAAAACAGGTTGTTTTTTGCAGCTTAGGTTGAGAATGAATGGCATATTTCGATTGTAATGTAACAATGTTTGAGGAAAATTTGGTTTTCCACTAAATGAGTCCTTTAAGCAAAAAATTATAAGCACAACAAATTATCCTGAGATAAAGATTCTACTGTTTTTACAGGGCAAGTGTTTAAGTGGAAAAAGAAGGGAAAGCTACAACTTTAACAGAGCTCTAGCTTACTGTAGATATTAATCTAGACTGATTACAGTTCCAAGACTCCTTTAAAAGCACTGCACTGAATCCAAGCTTCCATTCATTCAATGATTATTTATATTGGTTTAAAAAGTGCTAAATTAAGCAGCTCACTCAAAACAGTACAAAGCTTCAGCAGTAAGTAGGCAGATTTAAACCTCTCAGTGGGTTTCATGATTTGTTTAAAGAATCCCAGTTACTGTGCGCTTAATATAAAAAAAGAAAAAATGACAGCTCTTATCATGAGCTGTTATGATAACATACATGAGATGGGAGTCTATTTCCGCTCCGAAGTTTAGGTCACCCAAAATCTGTCCGGCAATACTTGGAATATTTATGGTTAACCACAAGCTAACTGTCTGAGACACTTATGATAACAAGACCACCTGTGCACATAGTGACAGCTTATGAAGTTTATATTAAAGGCCTCAACAAACCAAAGGACATTAGATCTCCATCAGCCAGAAAGGAACGAAGTGTCTGCCAAGAGCACATATTTCTGTAAAGCTGAGATTATTATGCATACTGAAAGTCAAGATACATTTAGTCTTTTGGGTCGGTTTGAAAGGGGTTATGACCCTTTTATGACAAGATCCAATTACCACTTCTCAATGAGCTCTGAAAATTAATTTACCCTGCAGTATATTAAAAGCTCTTTGGACCAGAACAAACCTGGCACAGCCTTCAATGAGTCTTATTCTGAACCAGCCCAGTCTGCATGCTTAAAACTCATTAATACTATCCTTTAATCATGAAAATACAATTCGGGACATCCAGACTTGAGTGCTCAAAGGAAGGGGAAAAAAGCCATGATCTACAAACAAAGGTAACCTTCTCTGAGAGCAGCGTTAGATAGAATATAGTTGTATGCACCGCAATTCAAATGACATGTTGTGAACATAAGTTAACACGTCCTTTACAGGGAATTATACAACAGTTAGTTCCGGCCGCGCAAGCTGATTGGTTAAGAAGTGTTCTTTTTTCACAAACACTATCACTCCACTGAGACGCCGCTGCTAAGCAACAACTTTGACAGCTGTAGGAGATGCTCACACCATTTTTTCACACCATTTTTACTTCTTACTTTGCCACAAACAGAAAATGGACACTTTTAAGATCACATTTGACCGACAGCCGATTTGGTCAGACTCTGAAGATGAGACGACACTAAATTCCCAAACTGTCATCACCACTGAGCAGCTTTTCAGTCGGCAGCTGTGACAGAAGAACAGCTAAACAACCTGGAATCAGCCAGAAATGAACCCAATACCATTCGCCAAACTAAATGGGCTGTAAGATGCTTTACAGACTGGCTAGAACAAAACAAGGAGCTGGAGAACGAACTGCTGGCTGAGCAGCGAGTGAGCGGAGTTCGTTACTCCGACGTAGCAACAAGCTGCTCGTTAAGGAACTATAATTTCGTGAAGGAACTGCGAACATTAAAACATATTAAACGCTGCGTTCATAACTTCTGAACATACGGAGCGCCGCTGTGACATCCTGTATGAATAAAAATAATGCATGGCAAGATAATTAAGTTGCAGCCACGACTTAATAAGACATGGGAATGAGATCCTAATGCGTGGTCACAAATTAGTAAGGAGTGGGAATGAGATCCTAATGCATGGCCACGGCTTAGTAAGGCATGATCTCATTCCTACGCCTTACTAAGTGGTGACCACAACTTAATTATCTCATTCCCACACCTTACTAAGTCGTTGTCACGCATTAGGATCTCGTTTCCACGTGCTAACAAGATGTGGCCACGCATTATTTTTATTTATACAGGATGTCACCAGTGGGGCTCCGTATAAACAGGCCATATACTATGTGTTCCTTTTTTTTCCCCCCAATGTATTAAATTAAGCAAATAAATAAACAATAATTATGCATTAAAATGTTCAGAAGCATGTTGTCTGTACAGGAAGTGTTAACTTATTTTCACTTAGAAAATAAACAAAACGTGTCATCTGACTAGGGGTGCCAAAACCTTTGCACACGCCTGTATGTATATAAAATCTTCTCTTTGTAAATCAGGGAAGTGACCACAGCTGGTAAAAGAGAATCATTAGCAGCGATGATAACATTGTCTTTGTATGTTCTCGCCAGATGTCTTATAGTGAGTGTATTTTCTATATACGTTCTTGATTCTTTAAATATCCTCCCCGATGACCTCAGTCCATCTGCAAAACTACAGTTCTACAACTAAACACAATAACAGGGTATCATTCGCATTAGGCAGAACAAAGAGAGGGTTAATAAGACTCATCACAACAGATCATGTTAAGCCAGAGAGGAGTAACAGCTCTCCCATCTCGGCACGTCCACAGCTGGCTTATTGCATCTGACCACACACCCTGCCTCTGATCCCTTCCACAGCTGGAGAACTACATCCAGGAGAACCTGAGACAAGACATGGCCCAAATTCAGCATGACGCTGTGCACAATCACACAGCTACCATGATTGAGATCGGCACCAGCTTCCTGACTCAGACGGCAGAACATGCACGAAAGCTTACTAGCGTCGAAGTGCAGGTGAGCGTCCCGTATACATGTACATGCAAGCTGTGTTTACTTATGTCTGTCCTCACCCTAATCTCATTCATAACGCTGAACTGTTCTGAACTTGAGGTTAGGACTTCTGGGAGCATTTCACAATTCCTTTCTCCTTAGTAAAGGGGTGGCCGATCTGGTAAATATATCACAAGACATGTGAAAACTCAATGTGTATCATCGTTTTTAGTTTCTCTGAGGTTTGATTAAGGCAAAACTAGTGCATAATACCAACAGCATATTACAGTGCATAATACCAACAGCATATTACAGGCTTTGAACACTGGTTAGTACTTCCGAACAAGTACTCATATACCTGTTCTCATATGAACCTTTAGAAACAATGGGCCTCATTCACCAACCATAAGAAGAAATTTCTTCTTTAAACCCACTTACACAGTTTTCTCAAAGATTCTGACATTCACAAATGTTTTTCTTATTTGGGATTTGTTCTTAGGTAAGAACAGAATCTACTCACACTAAAGAGCACAAAGGTGTGAACAGTTCTGTGATTTAAGAACACGACATGAATCTGACAAACTTTTTCTTAGGATCTTAGGAACAAATTTATATTGGATATATTGGAGAATGAGGCCCAGTGACATTTACGCTTCAGCTTTTATGGATCACTTCTAACACTTTAAGATCCATCATTTATGAGTCGTTTGTCTTCGAGTTCAAGAGCAGTTTTATTTTATTTTTTTTTTAATTTAATTATTTTGTTTGGCTAGTTCACCTTTTTTTAAATCATGGAAAGCAGCAAAGCACGAAAGGCAACACCCAGGCTGAGATGAGCTTAGTCATAGGCAGGTTGAGTTCAGTCATGCCGCTATTTGTCCGTAGCCTAAAAGCAGCGGTTCTCAAACTGGGGGACTGCAGGGAATACTACGGGGGCTGAAGTTATACATCTCAGAAGTTGTATGTCTAGTGTATATTGTAAAACGTGGTACTTGTTTAAATACTATGAAATACGTGTTAATTAATCACAATTTATGGCCACATCGCCCCCACTAAACAAGTTTTCGTTAAGTGAAAGTAATGACTGGGGCAGAGGGCAAAGGGCTGAAATAGCTACTCTTCACAAGTGGGGCCTTAGGCTAAAAATGTTTGAGAACTGCTGACCTAAAGAGATGCTGGCTACAGCGGCTGAAGTCAACTTCACCCCGTGTGAGACTCGTTTGCCGGTGTTCGCTGGTGTTCTCCTGTTTTAGCACTGCCAGAATTCACCATTCAAACAGTTCTAAGGCTCTGAGCACTCTGGTTTTAGTTAGCATCAACCCCACCAGTGCTCGGATACTCATACAAATACTGCTATGCTTACATATTTGAGATGATCCGACAAACTTGTCGTGCCTCCATGGAATACCAGCCACATAGCGTGAAAATCTGAATGCTGAAAAGAGAACCAATTACCAATGTAACAAATGAATACTCATCCAGTCGAAAATGTAAGTCATATGTAACAATTAAACCGAGCTAATTATGCTCTCTTTTTGTAATTAAACATTTAGTTGATCAGTGTTTTTCAAGAACACAGAAACATATGAACTACATGCTAAGACAACTGTGACAAAATTTATCAGGATAACAATAAGTACCGTCAAATTGTCCACACTCACTCAGTGAACTGGACAAATCCAGTAAAAAACATCCATTAGCTTTCTTCCTTTTGGACAATCGTGACTTTTTGACGAGGAAAAAAAAAAAAAACATTTCTCTTTCCTGCTGTTATCATTAATATGATACAATCATATGCATTGATTATAACAGATTATAATAATATTTACTAAGTATGTGCTAATTTTGTCGGGCAAAAACACCTTTGCGCTATAGTTACTCCAGTCATGTATGTGTATTCATTGTATTAAAAAAATCCTGAATTGTACAAAATAATTGAATCAAACTGAATCAAGTCTGAGAGGTCATGATACGCTCAATTGTTTGCTACAGAATAGTCACTGAATTGATTTGGAAAGAGCATCATAATGGCCCCATGGTTCTCCACAGACAGATGCTCCATAGAAAATGCATTGGCTTTTTTGCTGAGTCCACTTCCTTTAACAGTTAAACCAGAAAGGACAACCCAGCCTAAGAGTTCATTAATGAGGCCCATGTGCAGACCCCCTTTCAGTCACAGTAGCCCCAACATCCCCTGCCCTGTTTCTTTCCTTTATTGGAATTTGATTGTCCTGTTTTTTCCTGTGGTGAAAACAGATTTTTTCCACTCATCAAATGCTAGGATGCCCTGTGCTTTGACACCAAGTGATGTGTGAACATCCCCTTCCCACAATTAAGGTCTTTCACACATCCCAGCTCACATGGCACACAATGCCTCATCTTATGTAAATGGTCATCACATGGCCTGTAACCAGCAAAAGCCATGTTATCCTATACACTGGTATGAGTTATGAACCACAGCCTATTCAGGAGCCTTACAGTCAGCAGTAGAATCTGCCCTGAAACAGATTATTCTGGGGAAAAAGTGCAATTGTCAGAATTCATTACATAACAGTGGCTCATATATTTTTGCAACTGAGAAGGCCTGACGCTTTATGTAAGCAAGCCATCTTCCACAACGTGAACACCTTCAAGACATACTGTCATACTGAACTGAGTGAAAACGAAGTGAAAACAAAAAATTAAATCCCTACAGATCTCATGACCTTAATTATGTAAGCTTTCAGGAGTTCAGGCTCTGCCAAATAGTTCACTTAATAGCACATCTCTTCAAGGCTGTTACAATTAAAGCTTGTGCTTATCTGAAATACTTTCTGTGGGAAACGCTGTATGTCTTTTTCATCTTTAGGTTATAAACCAAACAACTCGGCTCGAACGTCAGCTCCTTGAGAATTCGATCTCCACGTACAAACTGGAAAAAGAGATTCTCTTGCAGACCAATCAAATAGACAAGCTGAATGAAAAAAATAGGTGAGTTTCTGTTTTAAATATATGTAAATGTACTCTACATTAAAGAGAATTCCACATATTTGTAAATATGTCTGCATAATTAACAAGTAAAGATGTAAACAATGTCATTCAGAGTGGTTTGGTGAAAAAGGCTCCGTTCCAGAGAATCTTGGAGTAAGAACTGTTCACAGTGGTGGTGATAGGAACCAGGCGCCTGAAGAGTTCAATGCCCCTAAAATATCTCCCTCAAACAAAGTTATTACATGAAATGGTTATGAATGCCTGAGACATTGGATAGTTCTGAGAGAAGGTTTCGGCCTAAAGCATATTTTTTAAAGCCATTCATGGTGAAGAGGTACATGCAGTGTGTTCAAAGGCAAAACAGTCCCCTCAAAAAAGATTTTTTTTTCCAGAGTTACCACTATTTTAACATATTTCAACATAACATATAAAAACTCAGAAGACGTGTTGGTGCACTGGTGGTTTTGGAAAGTAAATAAAATGGCTATATTTGCATTATAGGCATCTCAACCCACTGATTCCTATAAAGAAATCTGAGTGAATGACTTTGTTTACATCTCTCCTACTGAATTATGCAGAACATTTGAAAAAAAATCAGTGGAAATCCATTTTAATTTATTCAGAATAGTTATATATTCCTATATCTTGCCATAGCAGACACGGACTACCAAAATACAGTCCATTTCACACATTTTGGACTTGAACTTCATGATTAAAACTTGATGTCTTATAGTCTTCCAATGAGCCCAATACTACATATTATGCCCAAGTTACTGGGACTGTTACATTTAGATTTAGCGCATACAATGCAAAGCACTGTTAGGGTTTCTAAACTGACTACTCTTTTTGCTCTTCCAGCTTCCTGGAGAAGCGCATAGAGGAGATGGAGACGCAGAGGCAGGCAGAGTTATCGAGCCTCCAGGAGGAGAAAGAGCAGCTTAAGCTGCTGGTGGAAAAGCAGACCAACGTCATCAAGGAGCTCGAGCAACAACTGCTGAGCGCTTCGGCCATGCAGCAGGAGCAGCAGCAGCTGATAGAGAGGGTCAACAGCTTCATCCACACCATGTCTGTTCCCACCCGTAAGTGACTGCGTCAGCATCACAGCCAACCATCACACATGGGAATAGGGAGAAAAACACAGCTCCAGAACAATATTATGCTGTTCCACCTGTTTAAATGTTTGGGAAGTGTACACTCAATGTTACGTAATGTAGATCTAAAGGATCCAAAAGCATAAAAGGTAAACTACAACAGCCAAACAGATCCAACACAATGCTCAAAAAAGCATACAGTACTATGCACCTAAGAAAATTATAAATAAAAGGCTGTTTATTTTGGCAGTAAGCGTTTATCTGCTCAGAAAAACATTAAATATAAAATAACAAAAATACAGTAAGTAGTGATTTTTGTATGTCAATGTCTCGTCCAACCATTTCCAAACCTCTCCTCACTAGCAGCCTTGTATTATTTATAGTTATCACCCAATACCTGGTTTGTCTAATCAATACATCATAAAATTAAATCAGGAGCGCCGGGTTAAATTTAAACAAATCCATGTGATGGCTGGGGGAATCAAAGAGAAATCTACAACCAAACCTGTGTTCTTTCATCTAGTTCAGGCATGTTAAACTGGGGACCTTCCGTACCAAAGTGCTATGGAGATCAGCATTTACCCTCATCTAACACTCTGAATTCAGTTCATGAAGCCCTTGCTGATTAGCTGATGAGCTGAATCAGGTGTGTTTAATAAGGCAGCGTGCTGAAGTCTGCAGTGTTCTGGCCTATAAGGTCTGGAGCCTGACACACGTGATCTAGCTCCTAAAATATTAACTACATATTTCAACTACCTTTTACTGAATCCATGTTTGTTTGCATTAATCTAATGTTATATGGTGTTTTTACAAGCACGAATACATTTACTGCCAAGATTACTGACTATTGCACAGTCCTGTATGCAAACACTGACATAATACAGCTGTATGCAACAGTCTGAACACTGCAGTCAAATTACATGTTCTGCTGATTTTCTACTTGAAAATGCATAATTTCTATGCATTTACTAAATTTAACATAGTAGAAAAAGATAAAACATACAATATTAAGAGTGCCATAACTTTCGCACAGGTCACATTTCATGTTGCTTTTCGTTCTATGTCAAATTCAGCAAATAAACAGTAATTGTGCATTAAAATGTGCAGAGGTGTGTTCTCGGTAGAGGGTGTGTTAACTTATTTTCACTTAGAATATTAATAAAACATGTAATTTGACCAGGGTGCCCAAACCTTTGCGTGTGACTGTATGCCCAAATATGAGAATGTACTGAACAAATTAAGAAGTCTTAACTTCCATTCTCTATTTCCAGCTGGCAAACTGGCCATGATGCAGGACACTCCGTTACAGTACAGAGACTGTGCTGCAGTCTTCAAGTCGGGAAACAAAGAAAGTGGCGTCTACACACTAACCATCCCTGATACAAAGGAGCAAATAAAGGTAAGGAAAACATTTTAAAGCTTATTTCTTATTTCGGACACTACCAACGGACAGGCTAGTTCACAGGTATGCTTGACATTGGATCAGGAGGGGAAAAGTCCAGTGACTTTAAGGAATGTATTTCACTCCACACCGAGAACGCTACAGCCCCTTTGGATGAAGTTAGTTTTGTACATGCCTCAGCAGGCAGAGCCATCTCCTTAGATACTTTTCATGGGCAGTAATTTAAGTCTGGCAATATAACAGCCTTTTAACAGACATCTTACTGTTCTAAAAAAGTGAAGCTTGTTAAATGGGTGTGTGGGGGGCAGTGGCATGCCACATTCGACATGCAGAAAGGATGTTAATGCTTTTAAACATGCTACTAATATTGTTTCCATTTTCCAGGCATACTGTGACATGGAAATAGAGGGAGGTGGATGGACAATAGTGCAGAAGCGATTCAATGGCCTTGTTGACTTTCATCGGACGTGGAAAGAGTACAAAATGGTGAGGCTTCAGCACAAAAGGAAAATTTAAGGACACTCATTTCAAGGCATCAGATTCTATGGTGTTTAAGCTAATGGCCAACATGAAATACTTCGCAAGATGCAATATGTTATTTAAGCCACATATCTGTAAAACATTTTCTTCAAAAGGGATTTGGAGATCCTTCATCCGAACACTGGCTGGGGAATGAGTATGTCTCCAAGTTGACCAATGAACATCAATACACTCTCCGAATAGAGCTTATGGACTGGGAGGGGAATGCAGCCTTCTCTCAGTACGACCAGTTTTCCCTCAGCAACGAAGAGCAAAACTACAGGTAAGAAACTGGCCTTGCCCAAATCTAGCACTGATTCAGAAGCTGACTTCTTGTCAGTGATGTGAACAAAACACTGAGTAACATGTTACCTCAACTTTGCTACATAACATTGACATAACCATGCGATAAACATGTCATGGCAAAAATTAGCATATGACATCAGTACAGTTGTGTCAATGTAACGTAGCAGAGTTCAATAAAGCATCACCAATTATTGTTCAGTATCTTTAGTTGTCATTAGGTTTTGCACCAACACTGAAAACGTACCTGTACCAGAGCCGATACCGACACTTAAATACAGCATCAGAATCGGCAATAAAGATTAATGATGCCATGAAGCAATTTCTGCACCAGTAGAGCTTAACTGAAGCAAATGTTGTGAGATATATAGTTGGAAGCAAGCAGGGATAAAAATTCTCATTGGAAAATCAGTAACGCCAGTATTTTGAGGGACGACACAACCAGCAATAACTTCCACACATCAAACTTAACCCCTTAACATTCCAGGCTTATTACTAAGGCTTATTATTCATTAACTACAGGGACTATAACTAATGGGGCTTTTCTTAGGTTACAGAAGTGTGTAATAAAACTTTGGGCCCATTGGAGAGCCCTTGGCTTGGTAAGGGGTTATTTAAGTATTTAAAGATAAACCATGCCAAAGAGCACACAAAGGTTATCCTTAGTAAGTTTTTTGTACGTTTTTTGTGACATAGAACCTTTTTCACCAAAATAAAATCAAAATCAAAATAAAATAAAATCAAAACTATATCAATATCAGTATTTAGAGGCACCTATTGAGTAGTTGTCGGCAGATACTTGAGGAGGAAGTATCGGTATCGGAAGGAAATAAGGATGAACCCTTAATTGTCATGATAAAATGCCAATGGGAGAATATATCATCACCATATCAAACCTTATCATTTGAACATAGAAGATGCTCTTCACATTGTGTGACAATGTCATGATAAACAGACCAATAGAAACGCTCCAAAGTTTCAAATTACTTGGAATAAAATCTCTTTACATGAACTCACATCAAAAGTGAAGGAGATTTTTGCCTTCACTCCTCCAAAGTGAATATTTTGGACAGCTATGATATACAGTCCACTTTTATAAAACACATTGCTCATTCCACCTCACACTGCCATGAAATCTCACGAGAGGTGGCACACATTTGTCACTGTTCCAAAGTAAATATTTTGGCATCTGGAAATGGTTGTGGCCTATGAGATACAGACAGAGGACAACAGCAGCCCAGAGCTGTCTCCATTCTGTTATTGCTTGCCCTCAAACAGCCAACCACCATTATCCAGGAGCTTTCTGACCACATGACAATACTATTAAATAGGACAGCACTAGCTAACTGTTAATACTTTGTTGATACGATAAAGGCAAGAATTTGCTGTTGTCTGTTTTGAAGCTTGTGATAGATGGAACTAAAGACAGAGAGAGAAAAAAGAGACAGAAAGAGAATATCTTGGTTGTTCTAAGTCTGTAAGCTGATTTCATGCATCACCTCACTTCTTTACTGCAACAAAGGAAATGGCTTTCATCCTTTGAAGGCCCAGTAATATTAACCCCATAAAGGGCGTGACAGGCTTAAAAAAAAAACAAAATCTGATTGGCTCATCCACAGACAAAGCTTCGGAGACCTTATTCTTTTCTTTTCTTTTTTCTTACCCCGAAGCATGTTTTTGCATCAGTAAGCCTTTAAGGAGGAATGAATATCTTAATCTGTTTGTGCTGAATGCCCCCCCCGCCTCCACGTTTCTGTAACAGTAATTATGAACTTCCTTCTGACATTGTGTATTTCTGCATTTCCAATTACACAGGATACACCTTAAAGGCTACAGTGGAACAGCAGGCAAAATCAGTAGCCTTGCCCAGCCAGGAAGTGATTTTAGCACAAAGGATGCAGACAACGACAAATGTGTTTGCAAGTGCTCACAACTGACCACAGGAGGTAAGAATTAGGTTGATTTTATATGCCTCTATCTTGGGTTGGGCGACAAAAATATATTACGAATTTCAAGACGTTTTCTCGATACGCAGCACAATATTTAATTTTTCTCAGGTTTACTAAGACAAAAATAAGCCACATTTAATTAAAAAACTATGAATAAATGACTTTTATTCAACATTTCACAAAATGTACTGGTCTAAATCCAGTTAAACTGGACTAATTATGCTCTCTTTGTAATGAAATGTGCAGTTGGTCCATGTCCAAGTACTGACAAGATCCACGATATGCTCAGAAAACATTGTGACGCAATGTGACAATTTATCACGATAACAGTAAACACTGTCATTTCACCCACCTCTACCTCTACCTATGAATCTATCTGGCCTTTACTAGGCTTACTAGGCTTAACACACTGGTTCCTTCAAAATCTGAACTTTGGCACTTGGCACTTCCCCCAAAACTCAGCACAGAAGTTGAAAGGCGCCTTGCATTTTTTGAGTCTGGGTCACGACTCTCAGGCAAAATTAGCTGGGAGTTAATCACTGATCAGCTCATTTGGGAATTGAGCCCCTGTGAAAGCTGACATTAATGGTCTGGGAACTGCAGACTCACAAAGCTTTGAGTGGAGGTTCTCCGCTCTTTCGCTCTGTTATTCTCGCGCTGCCTCGTGTTCACGGCCCACTGCTAACTCAGCCTTTCTGTCAGGCACTGCAGAGCGCTGGGTCTTGGGAGCAGGCATGAGGGAATCCTAAAACCTTGGGGAAGAGTCAGAGATGACCGGGTCTAAAATGCTTAACGTGACATTTTAGGCAGATATGTTAATCTGAGATGACAGGGCTACGACCCCAAAGCATGAGAGATCCATCCACATGCTTAACAGTTGGCAAGGTGTTCCTTTCATCAATTACTGCTCTTTTTTGCACAAACATACTTATGATGATTGCGGCCAAACAGTTCCATTTTTAGTTTATTAGTCCAAAGCATTTGTTTTAAAAAACGCCTCGTTTGTCTGGATGTGCTTTGCCTACTTCAGACACTGACTTTGTGATCAGATAACGTTTCCTGCTGATCACTCTTCCATGCAGATCATATTTGTGCAAGCTTCGCTGCACAGTAGAACGGTGCAATACAACTCCTGTGACAGCTAAACCTTCCTGCAGGTCCTTTGCTGTCAGTAGGTTTTAATTTGCCTTTCTGGTCAGCATATCAGCAGTTCTGTTTGAGCGTTTTGATTGAGAGTTGATTTTCTTCCATAGTTCCCTTTAATTGTCATTGCTTAAAGATACTTTGGACAGCAAAAATTGTGAACTGGAAGCCTTTTAAAATCTTTTTATAGCCTAACCCCTGATTTGTAAACATCAGTTAGCTTCATTTTCAGATTCTCAGCCAGCTGCTTAGTGCCATCCACGGTTGTTGAGTGTTGACAATTCCTAATGAAAACTCTTGACCTGCCTAACCATCCTATTAAGTGAATTAAGGCTTAATCAGTTATTAATGTTGTTAGACCAGGGGGTTGGCAACATGCGGCTCTTGTACTGCCTTGCTGTGGCTCCACAGCTGGCGTTAATGTATATATGCTAATTCACCCTGTAACCCTGAAGGTTGGCCTGCAGACTGCTGGTCACCATAACAACACAGGCTGTCTCACCTAGCTAGTAGCTAACGAAAAGGCAAATAGAAACATTTAAGACAAACGTTGATAATTTGGAGATGAATAGACTTATTTGCATTTATAATCACTCCAGCTGGTTCCCTGATTCGTTTAACCTGCAACAAGAAACTGTCAACCAAAAGTCGCAAAGCTGAAGTCAGCTACTTGTTAGAATTTTCCCGTTCCACCTTAAACGGTGCAGCAGTTACATTCTGTCACCTCAGGTACCATTTAAAGAGGAAGCAGAAAATTCGAACAAGAAGCCGGCGAATGAGAAGCGACTTCAGCCTAGTAACTAGTCGAACGTTGAGAGAGAGACAACCTATTCTACTTCTACTGAAAAGTTTCCTGCCAGAGATGCGAGAAAAGCTATAGCGAGCTTTCAGATTTTAACAATTCCGACTGCCTTTCACAATTACACTCTTAAAAATAAAGGTTCCCAAATGGTTCTCGATTTACCTTCTGTTCTTCTATTCTTTAACCTTGAGTAGGTTCTTTAAACTTTAAAAGGGTTCTTCACACACACAAACTTCTAGACATTATTTCCACCCGTATTATTGCTTTTTAAACATTTCCCATATATTTTAATGATTGTGATAATGCTGAAAATCATACTTTTAGTTACAGATTTCATGATAGAAAGTTTTCAGCAAATGTTTGTGAGTAACAATCCTCAAACTGCAACAAGCAAACGCCAAAGTTCTCCACAATAAAAGACTTAAAGTTTAGTAAATACATGTTTGGTCTGAACGATTCTTTGTTTGTTCTTCACAGGCTGGTGGTTCGACGCCTGTGGCCCTTCCAATCTCAACGGCGTATACTATCAGCAAGGGCAGAACACCAATCGCTTCAATGGTATTAAATGGTACTACTGGAAAGGCTCGGGATATTCACTCAAAGCGACTACTATAATGATAAGACCAGCAGACTTCTGATCAACAAATGGAGAGTCAGTGAGGCAAAAAAGCTTTCACACCCAATAACGGAACCATATGTTTGGAGGATGAAACGCTTGACATTTATCAAGCTGTTCAGCGACGAAAGCCTTTTGTTTAGAGATGAAACCACTTGAAAGAACAAGCAGATTTAAATTAAGTATTAAATCGGTAGGAGCATGTGTGAAACGTAAAAATTTAACTATTAGGGCTCAGCACAGGGGCAAGTACCATTAAAAAGAAGTGTCACGGGCCACTTAGCTGCTTTAAAATGGACATGCGCTTATGGACTGAATGCTTGATAGGGTTTCCATTATTCCTCATGCAAAAAACGTAAGGCAGACAAAAGTAAATTTTCTAGAGTATCTATATATTTATGAGCATACTGTAAATACCACACAGTTACTTATTATGAGGATGTTTGATAGTGACAATGCAACTATGGTACAAAAGCAGCAAATGATGCATAAGTGTCCTTGACATCAGTATGGATGTGTATTATAGAAACAAAGCAAAACTGAGATGTTCTTTTGTTTACAGCTTTTGTTTTGCATCTGAAGTCAATTCAGTTTTTCTTTTTAATCAGAATATGTTTAGAACTTTTCTAGGAAAATGTCTAAAAACATTTTCAATGGAGCTTAAATACAAAACTATAGCATACAGAACAGGATTTGCACGATTGTCAAGGACGAACTTAATTAGAGTCTTTTTTGGGCTCACTGAACTTGCACAGGATAAAAAGGGTAGTACCAATTTTTAATGTAGAAAAAGGGTATGGATATAGAATATGGATGTAAAAATGGATAGGTTTTCTGAAAACAGCAGTGGTGAATGAGCCGTGTGTCGACAAATGTCTCAAATTCTCTAAAGGTATAAAAGTAGCAAATGCAAATCTGTTTAAAAATAAATTACAAAAATAGGACAGTCCAAAGAAGCCATTAGATTTAGTGCACAAATGTCTCTGACTGAGAGTAGAAAGTTGTATTTTTGCAACTAAATGATTAAATAATTACAGTTAGAGCTTCAGAACTCTGCTTAGTAAAGTACCATTTGCTGGCTTCGTGGGTTGTGCTGGCAATCTCGGTCTTGCTGAGGCCTAATCGCTGACATTTGGTAGCATCTGGGTCGCTAAAAATATTTTTTTTCAGCTTGACTAAATTTTTCAAAGATAATGGTTAAGCTACTACTGGCCTATTAGAGGATCATTTTAAGAATGAATCCTCTGTACTCTGAATAAATGGACCAGCTCTTTAGTTGACTTCAGTTAACTGATAAAGCCAAATGAGCAAATACTCAGCTAAAGTGCCAAAGCTCCATCACCAACAGCTTAAAAATGACTTCACATTACTCACTAATGACTTCTCGTTTTTTGGTTTTCACTCATTTATTTCCTTTGTGAAAGATTATCCAATTTATTCGCAGTAAAAAGGATGCTCAACTTTGGACATTATTGTAAAGATGTCTTTGTTTTTGTTTTACTTTTGCATTTTCTTTATGCAGTTTTCTGTTCTACAACAGAAGAAAGTTATCATCATAGCTGTTAACCTATGAAACAGAGTTGGCATTTTATTTTATAAGAAGATAAATTATTTTGTTTGTGGTGTCAAAAAATCAAACAACAAGACAACAAGCAATGGACAACATAAGTTATGGTTCATTTAACACAGGCTGGATTGAAAACTGGTGTATTTCAATGAGGCATTTAGGGATATTTATTTGTTTGTATTACACATACTTAAACTGTGTGATTAAAGGTGTAATTTTATTCAAGGTCAAGATGACATTAAAAGAAATATCATTACCATTAATGTTTTGCTCTTTATTTTCATTTTAACTTAGCTGAACAGTTATGTTGTATTTTCATTTCATTATAACTTTAGTACTATAGAGGGCAATCAGTAAAGTATACCAGCCCATCTGTAAAACATGGCTGCATGGGCATGAACGGCTCACTCGCCTTTAAAGAGTAGTGACAACTTTTAATGTTAAAAAAAAACAAAAAAAAACAACAGTTAGCATATGGATATACAACTGGATAGGTTTATGAAAACAGCAGCAAGAGGACAAAACTGAAGGCAAGTCTGCATTACTGGGCCGGCAGAGCATCTCCAGAGACGATACTTCGCTTCTGGTCTCAAAGGATGTCCAACAAAGTACTAGAACATTTCTAATTATGATTACGATCTTTGTCCAGCTATTTATGGTTCCCTAAAGCAAACTATTCATTATGTGGACCAGTACAGATGTGAATTCCCTCAAATTAAAGCTGACAGCAGCTGAACCTCATCATAGACACTGAGCGTGTTTACCTGCACTCAATATTCCGATCATAATCAGATTTCTGCAATTATCTGATTATTCAAATGGTCATGTAAACACCAAGAGTACAAATCCAATTAAGAAAATCTGATAAAGAGAGCTGGATTTTAGCTCAGTAATCAGACTTCTCGGTGCATGTAAATTCTTACTCTGATTTCCTTCGGATTTCGTAGTCGGCACATGTGTGAAACAGACCGCGGGACCAGAAATAAGCAGGCAGCATCGCCACGAGACGCAGCAAAACACTTTTGGAGCGATGCTGAACCCAAACATGAAATAAAGGTTTTAAATATTCTTCATCTTCTACACAATGTATGTTCATTATTTCATATTTTGAATTGAGTTTTACGTTACGTTTACGTCACGTCTTCTTCTGTGAGTTTATTGGCTGGTTGTAAAGCAGAAATCTGATTACTGTCTGACTCATGTAGACCTGGAGTTTCCTCATTATCTGATTACTCAAGTACATGTAAACGTGTTGATCGGATTACTGAAAAAATCTGATTTCCTGCAGTTATCGGATTATTAAGGTTATGTATACACACTCACTGTTTAGTTTCAAAACCTATAGTGCTGGAGTACTACAAAAATATTCACTGTCCAATTCACTTGTCCAATCGTCTGTGCATATCTTGTGGTTTCAGACAAATCCATGACTTACAGCAACTGTTATACAGGCCCTCGGGTCAATGATGGATGATTTCACAGCGCACAGAAACACTAAACGCAAGTGGAATGCAGCAAACCACTCCGCGTGTCTTTCCGACAAAAGGCCCATTGCAGTGCAGGCCAAACAAACAGGAACCCTACTGCACCCCTTTTCTAAGCTTTTACTTTCCTCCAAGCAGGAAGTCAACATTTCAGCCAAATCTCCTTTGAAACTCCTCAGCCTTTATTCGCATTGCTTCATACAGGGAATTCCATATGAGGCTTTTCAAAGTGTGTCAGGTAAAAAGTGGCGTCTTTCAATTGCAACTGCCTGTTTGAGAGACCTCTTAATTAAATGGATAATTACCTCAAAGAAAAACAAGATTAGGACGAGATTAGAAGAATGTTCCACTGATTACAAAGTGACAGGAAGAGAGAAAGTTCACTTTAAGCACAGGAAACTGGTGTAAGTGGAGTGAAAACTATTACATTTATTAGCATTATTTTAGATGTTGACTGCAGACCATGTGGCTCATTCTATAGTAACTCTAGATTTGATATATATATATATATATATATATATATATATATATATATATATATATATATATATATATATATATATCTATATCATCACTGGCCAAAGAAAAACAAGTATCTCCAAAATAGTAACTTTACAGGAGAGGGCAAAATGTTCTTTTAATGTTAACTTTTAATGTAAGACAATGGAAAGGGTTTTTTTCCCAAGCAATTTTGGAGCATTTCTATTGGTCCATTCATCACGAAATTATACAAACCAATAAAAAACAAAAAAAAAATCTAAAAAAATATAATAAAATCTTTTAATATAATAAAAAATCACAAAAAAAGTAGGAGATAAGTGCCTTTCTGTGAACAGCAGCTATATATATATATATATATATATACACACACACACACACACACGTACACACATACACGTTCCTTACTTTCAATGTGAGTCAATGTAACAATACATTATTCTAAGTAATTTTAGCCCATTTCTACTGGTCTGTTATTGAATTGTGACACAGTCTAAAGGGGAGCTGTTCTTTTCAAATTATGTATTTAAAACAGAAAGAGACAAAAATGGAAATACAACGTTTTGTTCCAACATTGGCGATGTATTGTCTACAGACAACTACATGCTAATATTCACTTTAAGGGGCACAAATGTGCAACAACTGAGCCACTATTCAATTTTCAACAGTTTATTATTCAGGCACTTAGCTAAACAGTGAAAGTCAAAGTTTATAGTGACATGCACTGTTTAGCTATGTGCCCCAGTAATTTAACTCAGCATCTTCAACGCATCACATCACCCAAGTGATAATTACATAAACTCTCACTGTTAACAACACAATTATATAATACATAATGTGGTTGTACTGTAAAATAACAATTCTGCTTATAGCTATAGTTCTTAGTGCCTAACGTGTATGTAAATGTAATCAAACCAATAACACTTTGTCCACCTACCGGTGCAGCAGGAAAATGATCAGATAGCTCATAAGGCTCCTCTGGAATCCACTGTCTGTGCTCTAGACACCATAAGATCTATAAAGAAATTCATTTTTTTCAGTGTGACCTCAAAATTGCATTACCATTGAATACCTCATATACTATCATATGGGGTGAACAATATGATATGTTACAAATGCTAACTTACACCACCACACTGATTCCCTCAGTACATCGAAGGTATCGGTGGAATTTCTAGAACACTGTCAGTCAGACTGCAGTGCTGAGAAAGATCTGCCATCCAAATAGCACCTTCTTTGTGAGGGTTCTATGGGGGTCCTGATCACTGACGAATGTGGTAAACAGGGGACTAACAAATTATTCAGTAAACTATAAAGTAAGTATGCACAATCAGACTCGTCCAAGACCAGAAACTGTAGATTTTTGCTCAAAACATGAAATCGGCAGCTCCGTGTTGCCAAAGTATGACGTAAATAAAGTGAGGCAGGTAAGCGCTCTCGAGTCTTTGTGCTAAATAGCCAGTTTCCTCTTATTTTCGATGTAGCACTTTATTTGGTTGATGTTATTTAAATAGGCAACTAAATTTAAATTGAAACATTTAAAATGACCGTTTGGCCCATTAAAGAGTAAACAATGTTGTTCATATTGCAAGTTTGGCTAATAAAAAGTATTGGAAATGTGCTACATGTGTATTCACCCCCCCCCCTTTCCCACAGCGTTAGCTTCAGATTAAAAAAAATAAATAAATAAAAAGGATAGTAAAAATTAGCCAAAAAAATCGTCCATCATATCAGAAATTAGAACCAACCCAAAAAAGAATCATGAATTGTGCATCCTTAGTATAAAGTGCACCTACACGGTAACTGGACCTGATAAAATGAACAGTGAGTGTAAGGTAAGTATACCTAATAACGTGGTCAGTGAGAGGTTACTGTACAGTCAAAATGTATCATGATGCTATTTTTGCAGTACCACCCAAATTTTCTATGCCACTACAGCGCTCTTTAACTTTTTTGAAACCAATGATGATATTTTAAACATAATTTTATTATATAATAGCTTTAAAGTGGGCTTTTTCAGAGCTCACTTTGTTTGTACATCTTTTTATATAGTAGTTACGAGTCCACAATATAGATCTTTAGAATGTTTGTGAATCACTGTTTCCCAGGCCTGGTCCTGGAGTGGCTCCTGTCCTGCACATTTCAGTTTTTTCCCTGTTTCAACACACCCACCAACTCAGGAAGGGATTGGTAATGAGCTGATTAGGTGGATCAGGCGTGTTGGTAGCAGGGAAAACACCAAGCACCTGTTTCTCTGGCAGGGATTATGCCTAGTACTGGACTAAACATTCCTTTCAGTGGAGAACCTCCATTCAGAATGCTGTGTAGTCCTGGCTTAAACCCTGTCCCCCCCAAAAAAATACAATCCCAAAATGTGCAGGGGAGGTGTACTCCAGCACCAGGCTGGGAACCTATAAAAGAAGACCTAAATCTTCAGCAACACCCACAGATATCTAAAGCTGACAAAGGTGGGTACTAGATTAATGACTGTGCTGATTCCTAACTTAAGACTGGCAGCATGTGCTATGGTTGGCAGACCCCTGAATTATAGAACTTACTTCTGTTTATTCTCAGTGAGATATTTATTTAAAATCTCTCTTTTCCACTTGCTACTTTACCACTTTGTCTTGCATTAC